TTTTGGGGGGGGGGGAACTCATCAAAAAAGAAATAACCAAGTACTTTTTCAGATATAGCAGGCTTGCTGTATTTATGATTCCAGGAAAAAAAGGGGAAAAGCTCTTTATTTTTTAATCTCATGGACAGAGCTAACAAAGTGCCTGTTTTTCTCACATTAATATTCTTTCTTAGCTGGATTAGCTGGGGATAGGTCTTGTCCAGAAATGCATTCACCAGTGTGTATTAAATCTTTTTGTCTTCAGAAGTTATCTTCGACAAAATAAGGTGCCTCCAGCCATTCTGTGGAGCAACAGTGACATTTAGTGGTGACTGAAGCAACTCCTAAATCTTAGAGACCCTTTATTGTCTTGTTGACCCCAGGAACATTTACCATACACTGTCACCCTCTCTGTGATTCACAGTCAATCTCCCTTTCCTTCCTCCCCGTGCTTTGGATATTGTAATGTAACGTTTTTAAAAGGGTAAAAAGTTATTTTCTATAACAGAAGCCTTTTAACGACATAAATATTGCATTTGAGGATCTTCCTCGCAAATCAACTCTTTTGTGTATCGTGATAAAACAATTAATGATTAAAGAAATTTTACTCTGAGAGTCAGACTGAAACAGTGCATTGTAAAAAAAAAATCAAATGCAAGAATTAAATAGAACCATTAGTTCCCTTAATTTTTCTCTTGTTGCCTCCACATTCTGGTATTAAGTTCAGATAAATTACCTTTCTAAATTATTCACATTTTTTTAGGTTCTAACACAGATTGGAAGCTTCATCATACCACAAAATATATGCAAACAAATCAATTATTCAAATGTTTTGGCATCCACCAGAATATCTAAGTATAACAAAGAGACCATCATAGGTAGTTACATAAAACCCTGTTGAGTTGCCATCTCAAATATAAGTGAAAGCTTTCTTTCCAAATTGCCACCTGGATCTTCTCTTTTCTGCTCCTTCAGTTCATTTTCCTTGCAAATATCTGCACATGATCAACCCACACTGAATTAGCAATGGATTCCCGGGATTATTTATTTGCAGTAAGGGATACAAGCCCCATGTTAATTCCAAATAATTTTGAATAATCCATGGGAGAACCAGTGCAGCTGTGTATTTTTTACCTAAATCAACGTTCCAGGACTAAGGTGGCAATTCTTCAAGCATTTCTCAGCCACCAGTCAAACCTCTGCTTTCTTTTCTAGTCGTAGATGGTGAGGAGGCTGCTTCATAATCTGGTTTCCTCCAATATCAGTGATGCTTTTGGCCAGGCATTGTGACCTGTTCTCTGAAGGCAGAGCAGATTCCTTACCAGACCACTCTGCTTCCTTACATTGCAGCAACTGAGCTTTCAGTTCCATGGCATAACAAAGCCAGAAGGCATTTTGGAAGCACAGATTCTTCAGTTCTTCCTTTAAATTTACTTTATTTGGCAAGTTCTAACAAGGCCCTCCAGTTTACATTTTGCAGCTGTGCCTTTTTCCTGCTTACATCTTACCCAAATAAGCCAAGCAAAGAGAAGAGATCTCTGTCATCATTTTGATACAGAAATTATTTGCCTGAGGCTCCCAAGTTATATACAAGATACCCCTTCTATATATTATGGAGGAACACTGTTCTTGTCTACCACAGTGGAAACAGTCCCAAAAATCCCTGGATGCAGGACCCTTCAGCCCTGGATGTCTGACTTCTGATGCCCAACTTTACAAGGCTTTTCCCCTGAAAGAATCTATAAGATACCAACTGCACCTTTATATATGTTTCTTATCATAAGCAAATCCAAGCAAGATTCCTCTTTGGCTATGGGTAATTCCCTTTCAAGTTCTAACAGTGCATATTTCAACTCCTTTTCAAATTTCCCATCTGTGTTGTCTCTACCTGCATCATTCTGCTTGGTAACCACTTCTTCCCCAGCACACTTGGTTGTTCTCAAGCTTTCTTAACCTCTTCTATGCTTTCCACTCACCTGTGTGCAAAGAATAACTCAGTTAAACTTGCTGTGATTCACTGAGGGTGTAAACAAACCAGTCAGATTTACATATTTTGCTTTGATATTTCTAAATATCCTTCTGGCTTTAGAGCAGCATTTTTATTTTTCTTTCAGCACAGTAGCAAATAATTGAACAGTTTTCCTCACTTATTGCATTACTGCCCTTTCCTTTGTTTTCAAAACAGAATGATCATTGTTGCAAAGATGTTTGGCAAATGTCATGACCCATTTTAGAATTCCCCTATTCGCTCACACACACACTGGAAACAGAACTACCCTCACAGCCCCTTAGGGCAGTCATTTTTTCATTTTCCTGGTAGTGGTAGCTCTTTTAACTCATGAGCAGCAACAAAAATTGTCAGTACTCTGTGGCAAATTCCACAGTTTCTCAGTATGTCTGTGTCTGTCTTCTGCTGATCTTCACTTGCAAAGCCAAGTCTGACCAAGTGTTAAATCAATTTTTATTTTTAGGAGTCTTCTTTTGTATTAAAATTACCACCAGTTCCACTCTGTTTACATAATCTGCCAGTTTTCTTTCTACCCCTCCTTCCTGGCAAGGTTAAGCTGGTGGCTGCCGTGTAGCAGCACGTCAAGGGCAGTGCAGCCTCTTTTTTTACCTGGATGTAGATTTTGAGTATCACCCAAACTGCATTAGTGACATTTAACAGAACAGAACTGCACTTCTGTCTGTCTCCTTAGCCCAATGACTGTGATGTCAATGGTAAACTCTGCTGAACTGACCATTTCAATGGTTTTGCAATATTTTGCATTGATTTCTAGGTGTAAAGATAATCCAGATTGCCTCCAAAGAAGGCAACTGTTGGAAAATGCCTGGAGTGTCTCACTGATCCAGTTCCAGTTCTGCCCCCTCCCTTGCCTTGCCTTCCCTTGTACTCATGTGTGAATTTTTACCTTATTAACTAAGTTCAGTGCTCTGTTTTGTGATGAAAAATCAGGTTGCTTACCCAAGTTGACAAATCTGCAGCTGAGAAATCACCAGAATCAGTATCCAGGCTTACTGGCCTGAATTACTTGAAATGCAAGGCAAGACTCACAAAGCAAAGTTAATCAGACAGATGCTTATCTTTAGAAATACATGTTCAATAACTTTTATCTTTAGAAATGCTTAATAACGTTAAAATATTTCACAGAAAAGTAAATGGAGCCATAACTGATAACGAAAAGTTGTCAAAATGTTTATTTCATCAAATTCAAAATGACTTCTAAAACGGATAAAATTCTGAAACAAAACACTAAAATTGAAAGAGTTCTTTTATCTCTCTCAAGGTAAATATTTTCATACAGCATTTCAGAATAAGGAAAATCTCAGAAGGTATTTTTTTCACTTTAATTGCCTTTCTTCTGCAAAGACTTATTTTGCTTCTCAGCAGAGTATCTTGTTGCTAATACTGTTAAGCATATCCATGCTTCCCTCTTGGACATTGCATTTCACAACAATAATGAAATCACTCGCCACAATATCCATCACAATATCCACCTTTTGGTTCTCTTTGGGTTTCTTTTATCCTTTGATGAAAGGAAATTGGGATAATAATGAGCAAAGAGGTAAAAGTTTACTTGAAAGGTGTTTCAGAGAACGTTCTTCTGGCATGAAAGGAAAACGTTCCCATGTTTGGGAAATATAGAGAATTATCTGCCTTTCAGTGTGACCCCAAGATGGAGAGAAGAAGGGAAAGGAAGGCTGGAAGGGATGCAGGAAGGAAGGGAGGTGGGAATGGAGGAAGAAGGGAACTGAAGGAATGATGGAAGGAAAGAGGACAGAAAGGAGGAAAGGAGAGAGAGGGCATAGAAAGCAAGGAAAGGAAGAAAAGAAAGAAAGAGGGAAGATGTGAAAGAAGGAAGAGAGGATGGAAAGAAGGGCCAGATTTGGGGATTTAGTTGACTGTGCTGGTCCTGCATTTCTGAAAATCTTGAGAGCTTTGATTAACTGAATACTAATTTTATTCTTTCATAAATAATAATAAAAAAATCCCTTCTTTCCTTGGAAAACTTGTATTAAACATGTTTTGACAGATCCCTTTAGTTCACCACTGAGAACAGCAGTCGTGTATTTGCCATTAAAAGGTATTAGAAAGGAAATAATTTTTTTAAGAAATAAAAAGCACTTTCTAAGGTGACAAACTGTAAGGAGGAGGAAGTGGTTTAGGAGTGAGGTTTCGAATACTCACTTTCATCAGACCTGAAACCACTTGGTGTGATTTGGTTTTTAGTTCATATTTTCTGTACAGTCCAAATTTCATTTAATTTACATGACCTTTTGCAGAACATAAGAAGCTTCCACCCAAACTTTGTCTTTCCCCTGGCCTTGAGGTTGAAGAAACCAACCTCACAAGCACAAAGGGAGCTGCTGCTGCAGCCTTGGAGCCTGTGGGAGGTTTGGGTTTCTCAGAAGGTCTCAGATCCTGCCTTCACTCAAGGTGAGGTGGAGAGCAGTGGACCTTGGAAGATGCAAAAACCTAGGGATATGTCCTCCTCAGCACACCCCCAACACAACCATCATAAAAGCAATATTTGAAGATAAATTGGAGCACACAAGACACTTGTGCCAGCCCACAGGCACGGAGTCCTTTGTGCAAGGACATAAGACATGCCCTTGTTATATGGGGGAACTTTCCTGGTGCTTGGAAGCATCAGGATTTGTGTAGTTTGGGGCTGAGCAGAAAAGGGAGCATTTACAGCTCTATGGAAATACCCCAAGTGTCCTGTTTCCTCCTCATAATGCCTTTGTTTAACACACATAATTGCTAAACAAAGAGTTGCACCATCTAGCTGGGAGTTGCACAGACCTGTAAAGAAATGCTGGCAGCAGATTATCTGGGCACTCCCTGCAACTACACCCTCACAGTGTTTGTGAGACAGGAGGTGTTTGCCACGCTCCCCTGGAGCCTCCACCTCGTGCCCACCATGGCTGGCTTGGACAGGGCTCCCTGCCCAGGAGGGGAAATTTCTGAGCTGTGTAACTGGATATGAATGCGGGCAAAGGCGACAGACACGAGCAAAATGTCACTGAAGCTCATCTGCTTCTTCCTCTGCATCCTGATTGCACCAGGTCTCACAGGTAAATGACTAAAACATCCACAGTTAAGTCAGAAGACCAAGGGTTTCTGAGTAACAAAGTCATTTGTCTTTTTGTTAAGCATGCCTCTGCAGTACCTAAGCCAAAAAGTGTCGGGTCAGGTGACCCTGTATTTTAATTATTTTTTCTAAAATTTATATCAGAATGAGCAAACGAAAAAACAATCTGTAAATTTTATGTTCTACAGGTCAATTCTGAAGTCTAAAGGGAAATTTCAGTCTGAAGGAATTTAAATTAGGCTGTGTTTGTCTCTGTTCTTTTGCTGTTCTGTGAGAAGCTGAACCCTCAATTTTCTTTTAATGCTGATAACTTTGAGCACAGGGATACCCTGCCTATGGAGTGGATGCAGGGTCAGAGAGGAAGGACATAACGTGCTAATGAATAACTCAAAATGGTTCACTGAGGGTCTCCTTTACCCTGAAAGGAGGTTCTGCAAATTGTAATCTGCTTCTCCAAGTAAATGCTGGACACCAAACACATCTAGAAGGGGTTTGGCCTCAGATTTTCTGTCTACCATTCAGTGTTGCTGATGATCAGTCTCCTAGAAAGCAATGTGACGTGCCAGTGTGCTTGGGTTTTGTCTGGTTCTGTCTTAAATGTGCCACTTTAGGTTGTGTCAGCAACATTCAGGTTGTTTCTTGCTCCATTTTTTTCTCTGCCTCAGAAAAAAATTTAATATCTTCCTTATAATTTATAGTCCTTAATTGCTGTTTACAGCAACCACTGACACAGCATCCTGTGTGTGCAGTGACTGCCAGCCTCGCTCAGTCACCCCACACTCACCCAATGTCTTGCACTGGTACAGACAGTGGGAGAGAAAGGTGGGATAACTTACACTGTGATCCCCATTCTCTTGGCCTGGACCTGAAATACAAAAATTGGGGTCCTAATCTCCTTCCTGAGCAAAGAACATTTATTTGCTTGAATGTTTATGCCTCAATCTGCCCCTGTGGTCGGGCAGGGCATTCCAGGGTAGAACACAGTGTGTTCCTGCCTAGGGCAGGATCCAGGCTTTGATTCCTGGGTGCTGGGGAGAAGAATAGGCAAGGGGGTATGTCCTGGGGTCTTACCTTTTGATATCAGTTTGTGTAATCAGCAAATGAGGAAGGGGATACTCCCAGAGCCTGCAGTTCCAGCCAAAGAGGCTGTTTAGCATCATTTATCTAAATTCCTGTCTTTCTAGGGGTTAAGGATGCCTGGCTTTCATTTTCAACATTTAGCTTACAAACAAATTCCTTTATCTTCTTGGGATGTTATAGACATTATTTTCTTGTTACCAATATTCAGAATTCCCTTATCAGATTCCCCTTCACTGGTATTTCCTCAAATGGAGAGGCAGACCATGCTCCAGGGTACAAGAAGCTGGGGTCATTGCTGTCCTCCAGATTGGCAAAAGGAGATTAAATCCTACAACACTTGAAAGTTATAAGCCAATGCTTATTAGCACAGCAGTGAGGAAGGATTTCTCAGCCCTATAAATAAAATTTTAAGGGACATGCCAGGAAAAGCGGAGATGAGGTAAAACAATTCTGGACACCATGCAACACTAATTCTGGAGTTACTCTTTCTTCTTGTGTTGTTGAGCCCCTGAAATGAAAGGATATTATGAATAAAGAGGTAATTGTATTAATATTTTTGCAGTGTTCACTTACACTTAACAGTAAGCAGGGGTAATAGTAGTGATGAAGTAATGATGAAACATTATTGTGTCCTATATTCATAAAGCAAGAAGTATATCAAACTCTATCCCAGAGCAATGGAATTTTGTCAGGGTTTATTTACGACATTTTAAACTGAAAAGTAAGACAGACAAATGTACTGGACTTCGTCATGATTTTTTTTTATTGTAAATTCTTTATGTTTAACACAAAGAGGATAAAAATATTACACAAAAAGTGTCATCACCATTCTAAATGGAAATATATTCTTTGTGTAAAAAATGTACTGCTGAGAGGGTAGGAGGAAAAAATGCTATTTACAGAGAAAATCTGGGCATGTCTTTTCTTTGGCATGACTGGAGACATTAGGGTAAGAGTCAGCATGGCTTGAAAGACTGCAGTTTGGCTTTTCCTGTGAGGCTATTTCCATACTGCTTGGGAATCCAAAATCAGATGGAAATGTGCAGCCCTGGGCTCTCAGCCCTCTGAGTCCTGCCTGTGCTCTCTGCCCAGTTGTCCCCTGCACTTTTTCAATGATTGTTTCCTTTTCCTTTCAAATGCACATACCAGAGCTAAATGGATTATTTTAGTGCTTCACTGTTTTTACTTGGTGCTTTCTCTGTTTATATAACCTAGAACTGTCTTTTCTCCCAGTGCTAAAGTTGTATTTGCTACAATTGTTTTGTGGGCTGTTGCAACAGATGGGTTGGAGAAACCACAAATATAATTTGTTTGGATATGGCACAGGATACATCATGTCTAGATCAAAAATATTTTGGAAAAGCATGAACCTCTCTTCCAAACTATAACTATCAGCATATAATGCCAAACAGGAACTTAAACCTGTGAGCTTCTTTTATAGAGACTCATGCACTGGCATTAGGTACACGGAGTTTTTCCCAGTGAAAGGAAAAAAGAAACCTTAGTTTCTGCATGTGAACTTTTGTGGTTCAGCTGAAATGAGGTGACAGGTCTCACTGTGCCAGTAGAAGAGTCCCTGGCTTTGCCAGGATAACAGTGGACTAAGCTGAGCATAGTCTGGGAAGGAAAACTGGTTTCAAGCAGCTCTGAAATAACCTTTGGGCCATTAAAAGCCAAAGTCCAACTCAGAAGTATCTTCTTTTAAAATAGGTTTCTAGGCAGTTTAATAAGACAGGAGTTTAGTACTGTTGAATACAAATATATATATCTGAAAAAGTCCTAAAGTCAAGGGCTTAAAAAATTAGGAAACACTCCTGTGCAGCTCACCCCTGTTCAGACCTGGAACTTCATTGTGTGTCTGAGTCATGTGGAAAACCAGTGTCTGATCATGTAAATGAGGATTGTTATGTAATTCACACACTTGGGTATGCCAGCTCCCAAAATTAACATGAGAATCAAGAGTACAAGGAAAAGTAGCACTCTAAATGTTGAGAAGCATGGAGAACACAAGAGACCAAATGGGTGGTTGAGCTGCAGTTTGAAATCACTAAAGACATTTTTTTTTAAAGATTAAAAAGTGCCTTAACACTCATATGGACCCTCAACCTCAACTTCAACCTCAAAGAAGTGACAGAACTGCTGATATGGCAGAGGGTGACTCCTCTGGTATCTAAATGGTGAGAAAGCTTCTCATCCCAGAAATACCTGGATTTTACTTCATAGTAAAAGCATAGCTAAGAGTTTTGTCACCTGATCTGTATAACATGCCAAATAATCATAAAAATGTTGGCAACAAGGTTCCCCATATCATCACTGAGTTTTTAAAGATATATACAAAGGGAATATTCTAAGGGCAGAAAGAAGACAGATATTGTTCCAATGCTTTAAAAGAGCAGTTGTCATGAAAACATTGCTCAGGGACTTGTCAACTTGATTTTGCTCCTGGGTAGAACAACTGACATTAACTGATTTAACTTTGTAAACACAGCTCTTTTTAATGGCAAAGACTATTGGATTATAAACCTGTGAAGTGAAATACATTCAATAAAAGAATAATCTTTAGGTAACATATTGGGATAAAACAGTTACCTTGTTTTGGGGAGAGTGTTTGCCATTGCTACACTGGGCTGATAGAAACTATTCCACCCATTCCTTCCTTCCAATGGTTCCTTGGGAACCATTCCCAGGTAAGCAGAGACAACATAATTGTCCTGGGATGGGAAAGCAGCAGAACAGAGATAACTCTGTTCCCATAAGGTAGTGCAGGATTTTCCCATGGGGAATCCTGCTCTCTGTGCTCTGCTCCAAACACTGCTGAGGATTTTACATCAAGATACCACAGGATAAAATTACCTCCACTGTGGGTACCATCCCTTACTTATGCTTTGATGATCTCAGAGTAATGTAATAATTTCATTTATAGAGCATTGAGTAAGTTTATTCTATTAAGAGGTACTTTGCAGCCTACAAGCACTTACATTATTAGAATCCTGCAACATGAAGGGAGCTGTAGCAGAGCCAGGATCTTCTGCAGTGTCCAATCCAACCTAGAAAGAAATAGCACATTTAGAACCATGGCATTCATTGGAACAGTTTATAGAGTGCACTAGAGTATCTGTTACTTGACTTCATTAAACAGAATTGGATGGTTTGACCTTTTCTCACAGTTTCACTGATACAATGAAAACCTCTGGAATAAGGAAAAGGCACCTTTACCTTTCTGCACACAGTGCCAGCCTGACTGCTCTGTCATTTTCTCCTTAGTTGTCATTTCTTCTTCTTTGTAAAATCATTTCAAATACTGAAGTGACAGTAGTGAAATGAAGAGAGTGTATTTCTGATGCAAAACACTGTTTTGTACTATTCTTCTAAGTTGTTTGTTTTTTTTCTTCCTAGTACATTCAAATTTTTTCTCTCTTTTACTGGGAATTTTAGGTGAAGAAGCTTTGCCACCGGCACCTCAGAATATCTCCATTCTTTCTACCAACATGAAACACATCTTAACTTGGAGTCCTGTGATCATCCAGGGAGAAACTGTGAGATACTCAGTTGAGTTTCAGGGGTAACTTCTGGTTTTGTCTTTTTGTTTACTCTTTGATCCCTGTTTATCTAGACTTAAAGTCCTACATTTTTTTCTTTTCCTTTTTTATGTTTTGAGCACTATTCAGTTCACAAGACTAAGAGAAGTTTGATACTTCAGCACTGCTAATCACAAGTGGGGGGGGGGGAGTTCCTTTACTCCAATTCTGAGACTGTTTGCAGGTTCATCAATACCTGAGTAATCCAAGGTGTGCATTGATTCCACATGAGAAATCTGCCTTTACCCAAAGAATTCACAAGTTAGGAAGATCAGCAAAAGTTTATGTAGAAGTAGAAGGAGGAAGCATTTGAGATTTATTCAGTGTTAATCTTGTAAACATTCAACAGACATCACAAGAGGTTTCTGATACATCTTGAGCTATGACTTGTATTACAATATGGCTTTGGAGTGCTGGGGTACCAGGAATGGTCGAGTCAAATGAGTGGGCAGGATGTGATGCACCGACACTGCGTTGGCTCTCCCCACCTCCTACAATATCGTGCTGCATTTGGCTCATGAGCAGGCTGGGCCTGGGAGATGTTCCCTAGATAAGATCTGAAACACACCCATACTGCTTTCACACACTTCTGGTATTCCAGCACATCCCAGCACTGGTTTTACCTGGAAAGAACTGACAAGCAGCCTTAGCCCCTGTCACACTGTGTGCTCTCTCCTCTCCTCAGGGAGTACGAGCGAGTGTACGCCAACGAGAGCTGGATCCCCATCTCTGAGTGTTCCCTCATCACAGCCACGCTCTGTAACATCACAGAGGACATCTCAGCCACCGTGGCCTATAACCTGAGGGTGAGGGCAGATCTTGGTGCCAGGAGGTCAGAGTGGGGCACCCTGAAAGGCTTCTTCAATCGCAACACCAGTGAGTGCCGGTACTGGCTCAAGCTGCGTGGTTCACGTCAGCTTCTCAGAGTCTGGTGTTGGGGGATCTCTCAGGAGCTGGGGTTGTTTAGCCTGGAGAGGAGGAGGCTCGGGAGAGACCCTGTCACTCTCTACAACTCCCTGACAGGAGGGTGTAGCCAGGTGGGGGTCGGTCTCTTCCACCAGGCAACCAGCAGTAGGACAAGAGGGCATGATCTTAAGCTGTGCAAGGGGAGGTTTAAGTTGGACATTAGGAAGAAGTTCTTTACAGAGAGAATGATCAGACATTGGAATGGGCTGCTAGGGAGGGGATGGAGTCACTGGATTTGGTGCCATGGTGTGGGTGACAAGGTGGTGTTGGGTCAAAGGTTGGACTCGATGATCTCAGAGGTCTTTTCCAACCTCGTTGATTCCATGTTTCTGTGATTCTGTGTGTGGTGCACGCCACCCACAGCCCATATATCCCCAGAGCACATCCTGCTTCTCAGCTCCTCTCATGCTGCCTTGGGATGTTTCACTCTTAGACAGCCATGGTGTTCTTGGACAGCAGGAAGGGCCAAACACACCAGAACTTCGAATTTAAAGGGTTTCAAGATAATTGCAGGCATTTCTTCTGGCAAGCTGGTTGTTCTTGCCCCTTATTTCAAAGGGTTGTGATCAACTCCTAGACCAGAGTTGATCTGATACTAAACCTTCATCAGTCTTTGGAAGTTATCCACTACTTTATGAGTGAGCAGTCCTCACTCATACCATACAGAACTCTCAGCAAAGCAGCACCAGAAGTGTCACCTAAGTTGGTGAATGTGTCACTTGGTGTGGAAGATTATTCTAGATAGTGCCTTAGCTGAAAAATCCCTCCCTTTTCCAGCAGCTCTGGTGGCAGAGTTGAGCCACAGACCACAGGGTCAGGCAGAGAGAGGGGAAGGACAGTCCCAAGACTGACATGAGAAAAGCAGCAGCTTTCTCACAGTTCAGTGAAGTATTTGACAGCTTGGTCCTGTGCCTCAGGGAACCTCAGTGCAGTCCTCTGGCTAAGCTGTGAAAGTTCAGAGGCTGCAGCTTGCAGTGGGATGCAATGTGAATATGACAGATGTTAAAAAGAGAAGGAAAAGTCACTCTAAGCTCTTGCCCTTCTGCATTTTTACTGCTTGCTTTCCCTTGTCTTTGCTTTCATATCTCTTGGGAAACCTGGCATTGAGTCTGACAGGAGCCAAGGAATCCAAACCCAGCCTACAGGTTGTGTATGGGGTTCACAGACAGTCAGGGCATCAGCACAGCCCACGCTGCTTCCAGGCTGAGGAGCTCCAGTGTCAGAGGCGTAGGTGTAGAATCATATAAAGACTGATAACACATGGAAAACACTTGGAAAATAACTCCCTAAAACTAACAATTTAGTCAGTCTCACTTCTTCATTTATCAAAATTCAAATAGTTAGTTGGTATCCAGTGTGCCAGCACAGAGCTAAATAGAAATGCTCCTGTTTGGTTAGTTGTTGCATCTTGCAATGCCCCTTTGTTGCTCAATATTTGTTTTTAACTTCCAAATAATGTTATCAATTTTCTGTTTTAATTTGGAAGCATAGTGTTCAGCAGATTTTCAGCTTTTAATTTAAAAGTACAAGTAGATTTCCAGGCCTCCCATTTGTGGCACATCCATCATGAACATACTTGGCTTTTATGTTTTCGTATTGCTTGGTACTGGTGGCAAAAAGAATTTGCTTTTACTGGATGTAAAAGCAAATTCTATTAAGAACATCTCTTCTGTAGGGGACTATGCATTGCTTTCCTTCCTATCTTGAAAGCAAGGAGGTTGATACTGGTTTCAGCTACAGCAGAGTGCTAAATAATGGCATAGATAAGCAGTGCAGAGATGATCTCTATCTTGCCTTGATTCCCAGTTCACAAATGTGCAGTGTGTAGTTTCATCTATACTTGACTGATTCTCATTATTTCACTAATATTCCTCCCAGCAGACTTTCAGGCAAAACCAAGCTTTGAATACCAAAGTAAGCAGGAAGCAAATCACCTACAGATTGACTTCATAAATTTACAAAAAACTTAAGCCACAGCAGATCATCAGCCCAAGTCTACCTAAAACCATGTAGATCCTGAAAGAAAATCAGGATTCATGCAAAATGCCAGAGTTATCCTGAGGCTCATAATGCTTTTTCCTTCACCTTTGAATAACTGCCAAAATTCCCACGAAAAAGCAATGTTTTCTCATCTTCTGTGCTGTGTGTTAGTGCTGAGCTAATGCCCAGGAGCAGAAGAGCTGGGCTGATCTGGTGTCTCTGCTTCTGGCTGCCCAGCTGGTTCTGCTGCAGTCGGTCACGTGGGACCCTCAGGCCAGACAGTTCCTCCGCTGGAGAAAATTCAAAACCTTCCAAGTTCTGTGCAACTCAGCTATTGCCAAACTCCTGTTTGAAATGCCAGTCATGGTCCTTCTCCTGTTGGAAATCTCTTACTGTATCTAGACATACTGGGAGGTAGAGCAGAGGGGTTTCTGCCCCACTGAAGCAACCAGCTGTTATTCCAGGTTAGTGTTACTGTGCTTGTGATGGCAGCTTCTCTTCCTCTCCAGGCTGGGAAAAAGAAGGAGGGTTTTTAAGGGTCGCCTCTGATGTGATAATGGTACTCTCTCTGTGTTGGCAGCTTCCCTGACCCCACCTGTGATGAAGGTCATAGCAGATGGGTATCATTTACTAGTGGAGCTGGAGGACATGGGGCCTGCCTTTCAGTTCCATGTTCTCTACTGGAAGAAGGGCCAGGAGAGGAGGGTGAGTGTTACTCTTGGGTTTTGGGTAATAAGAGAGATCTTTGTCCCTCAGAGAGAGATCACACAGACACTGCCCAGGGCCTGTTTGCCAGTCCAAGCTCCTGCTGGGAGGCTGGAGGGCCTGCCTGGAGCTGGTGTGTGCAATATTACTCTACCCATACCACTGGGCTGCTCTTACCCTCATGGAGAAGCTTGTCTGTTCTTTCCACATTTCCTTCTCTGGGAAGAGGAATCCACCCAGGTACCTCAGCTATTGAAATTCATCACACTGGAAAACACCCAGATCAGGCAGGATCAGTCACTGAGCCCTTACACCAGGAGAGCGGGTTACAGTCTAGTGTTGTGGCCCAACATCATCATTATGCCTCGTTGGTTTACAGCTTCTTCTTCTTTCCATCCCCTCCTACCCTTCCAGATGTGTGTGGTCTCATTCTGCACTCCACTGTGCTTCCTTTTTTGCTGTCCTTTTCTTCCCTTGCTCACACAGTCCTCACTGACACCTCCTGCTGCTCCTTCCTTTTCTCCCAGTAAAGTCTGGGCAGCATCGAGGCAGGGCTCCTGTTCCAAAACAGCTCCTTGCCCTGTGTTCTGATGTCTTCTCTCCTGATTCTGTGGCAGATGCAGCAGAAGGTGGTGAAGGAGGTCAGCTCTGTGGTTCACCTGGACACCATGGAGGCAGGAGCTGAGTATTGTGTGAAGGCTCAGTCGTACGTCGAGGCCATCAACAGGAGCAGCAGCTTCAGCCAGACCCAGTGTGTGAGGGCCCAGGGTGAGAGCCAGCCCTGCTTCCTATGCCCCTGGTGTAGTCATGCCCAAGGATACCCAGCAGCTCCTCCTTCATTTCCACCCCATATCTCCTGTGTTGTTTGCGAGTGTGCCCATTTATTCCTTGGGAGAGGTAAAAAGGGGAGACTCGTGAGTGCAGGCCCCTGCACTGGCACAGGTATCCTTTCCTGGGTGTGCAAACAAGGGATCTCACCAGGATGGGTGGGAAGAGCAGCCACTCATGGTGCAGGCTGACTGCAGTGGGTGTTTGTCCTCACAGTGACTCTGAGAAGTTTTGCTGCTTCTGTTATTTCCAGGTGACACATCCATGTGGCTGGTTACTGCCCTCATCTCCTCTGCTGGCTTGGCTGTGGCTGCTTTAACCCTGCCTTTCCTCACCTGGAAAACAAGTAAAATCTTTCAGTACTCCTGCTGCCCCGTTGCTGTCCTGCCAGACACGCTGGTAACTGTTTTTACTGTGCTTTATTGGTTTTTAGGGTGCTGGGTGTTCCCAGGAGCATAGGGCAGGCAGGCAAGGCAGACACAGAGGAAGCCCTGCCCATCCCAGGGTGATGGGCTGAGCTGCAGGGACCAAGCAGCCCAGAACTGCCTGCTCTGCTGTCACTGCCTTTGTGACAGAGCTCTGAGCAGGGAAGATGCTCCTGGTGCTTGGGAGGCATGGACTGACCCTGCCAGAGCAGCTGCTCCCTGAACCAGACAGCTGTGTCATTGGCAACACTGCTGCACGTCCCCTGGGTCCACCTCTGAGCTGCTCAGCTCCTTGGTGAGGAGAACCCAACATCAAAAGCTCCCTCAGGAGTAGGTTTAAATGCCCAGTTCAAGTGACAGTGCAGGTAGCAGCTTTTATGGCTGAGGGTTCCTGAGCACTGGGTCTGTGGGCAGCTGGGGTAGGAAGGATGAGAGGAACAGTTTGTGGGGAAAAGCAGAAGACAAGCAGGCCAGCTCATCAGCCTGAGGGTGTTTGAGTGAGTGCATTTGTTCTGCAGAAAGTATCAGAGCCCTCCACCCAGCTGATACTGTGTGGCAGTGAAGAAGCCGAGCAGTGTGATCTGACGGTGGTTGTGATGCCCTCAGAAGAAGTTCTCCGACTGTGGATTCAAGAAACACTTTAGAGCACCCCATAAAATGCCTCTTTTTAGCATCTTCATCCATCTGCACCAAAAGCAAGTAAAGGTGACAGCTGCCAGTTCTGTACCTCCCCTTCACATCCTTACCCAGGAGCAGACATGAGGTAACTCAGTTCCCTTTCCCACATCGGTGGTCCCGAGGCAGAGCTGACCCTTCAGCCACCAGGATTTCACCAGAGCAATGCATTTGGAGCCCAGTGCCTTCGTTCCAAACCATTTCAGCCTCAGTGTTTTGCCTCAGTAAGAGCTTCTTAACTTGCAAAACCAGCTGGGATGAGCAGGGAAAAAAACGTTTTTAGGGCTGCAGGCCCTGAACTGAGGTGACAGTCATTGAAAAGGATGTTGGCAGTGAGTGAATCCTGATCTGCTGCATGTGGCAGATAGCAATGTATGGTGCCACCAAAACTTACAGACAGTGCCATGAGGGATGACTGGATTTCACCAGTACTTAGGAGAGAGTGATGTGAGAAACAGCCAGACTTCAGAGATGGTTGGAAGGAGTGCTGAGAACCTTTTGGGGTGCAGAGCTCTGCAAGAGCAGCAGCATCACTAACAGTGTACAGGTCCAAGATCACCTAGTCAAAAACAGGAAAGCTGTGTATGAGTGAAGGAAAAACTAGGACCTTCAGAAAAAATATATAATTAGGAATTAATTGTTTAAATGAGAGGGAGTGGAGAAAAACAGGGAAAAGACAGAGAAAGGTAGGCTCAAGAAATAGGAGAAGAAATAAAAAGGGACAAAAGGAAGTGCAGATCATGGTCAGGATTTCCCAGGATGCCTGCTGGGCACCCCTGGGCTTCAACAGCAGGACACTGACTGTGTCACACAAGGCAGATGTACTTCTGTGGTCAGGAGGGCCAGGCTGAAGGGCAACTGGCTAGTGGAGGAATATCAGGATGTATGGATCAAGTATGACAGTATGGTAGTGCTGAAGTTGGTAGTGATTCCAGGCCTGACAACATCACTATCCTCCAGATGTCCTGTCCTCTTAAGGAAAGAAATTGCCAAAGACACAAGAAATTCCTTCTAAATACAAATAAAATATAATTGTTGGGTATATTGCAATTATGGCTGTCACTTCAGGGGAAAAAAAAAGTAATTTCTTACCTCTGAAGCAGAGACTTGTGTTAGCAGGGCATGAAAAGACATTGGTCTGAGAAGCTTTTTTTAAGGTTCTCAGTGGGTCTAATGAAATGCAAGACATCTCTTTCTTAAGGGATGTGCCTTTCTAAATCTCATTCTTGCAATCTTGCACGAGGCCATCGGGTGGCAACAAAGCACCGTGAAAAAGTAGAAGTGACTCAGGACTATTTATAGCTGTATTCTCCTGTCCAGGCTTTTGCCCCGGGTCCTGGTCAGCACCTCCTTTTCGTGTTGCAGCTCAGCTGTTTGTTTTATTCTTGTCTCACTGCCTTCTGTCTGGACAATACTGGGATGCAGGACTTCGGTGTTAAATCATCAGGTTGTTACTGCTGAATATCTATCAAATTACAGGGTGAGAAAATCCATGCAGGTCTGAGCATTGAAGACTCAGAGCTGATTATTGGTTTGTTGCCAATTAACTGGGAAATGCCTGGTTGCAAACACCCCTGTGATGCTGAGCCTAGACAAGATTTGGGAGCAAAGAGGAGAAGGGCTCGTGCATGGGGTGATGTGAGGGTCCCTAAATCAAGCTGGGGTGGCAGTGGAGGCATCCAGTGAGTGGCTGGCTCCAGCAGCAGGCAGTGCACAGCAGTGGTTTTTTGGAGGACAGTCAGCACAGAAGTTCACTCCCCTGCAGGGCTAAGGGTTCTTTATCAAACACCCCCTTTAGCCAGTGCTTGAATTTTCAAACCATAGCTCCCCATCCCAGAGGCCTTGGTAGTAAGGGTGGGTTCAGAGAGCTCCTGTGCCTCCCATTTATCCTTATTTTATTGGATGAGTTTAGTGTCTTGGTTTCCAGTGTGCCCTACAGCAAAATATCCTGTTGCTTGTCCATTCCATGGCTAAAGGTCCAAAAAGTCTCAGCAATTCCTCCTATCTCTTCCCCCTGACACTGTTGCATTATGGCAGTACCAGCAATTGTTTAGGGATACAGAGAAAAGAAGGGGGGGAAAAAAGGCCCCTTGACTGTGAAGGGCTTTTAAAAAATTTATTTTAATGCATAATTTCCAGCTGCACATTAAGCATGGAGCATATGTTTCTTTCTCACTTGCAATAACAGATTTTATGTCCTTCCTCATTGCCAATAAAGCAACTAAACTGTGGTAGAGGACTCTGCAGACAACGTTAAACAAAAGAAACATCTGGAAAAAAAAATTCCTACAGTAGGGACACGGAAGGATTGTCTGAGTGCCACTGCCACCTTAGCGAGACTATTTTCAATTTACATCAGGATATTCCATTTTATGGCGACCTGAAGCCAGATTTGAGGTGGTGATTGAAAATCCCTGGGTTGGATTTTCCACCGAGGCTGGGCTGCACTTTGTGAAGCGTGGATAGAACGAGAGGAATTCCTCTGCCCACCCTGCACCCAGCAGCACGGTGGCACTGGCGTGGGCAGCTGCCATCAGTGCCTCCCTGGTTCACTTCCCTGCATTCCAAGAGTTAATTGTGCCTCAGCAGTCATGGCAACCACTGCCTTTGATCACTGATTTTGCTCCCACATTTCAAATGATGCCACATTTCAAGGAAGGACCAGACCAGGAAGTCACCGCAGCAAAGAGCGCTGTGTGCTCTCTTTCTTTGCCTGGATGTCACACTGAGGGGCTCCGTTTCTTTCAAAATACGTTTCTTTTTTACTTTTCTCAAAATGTGTCGTATGGAAATAAAGCACAAACCTGCATCGTCTTCCTAGTGAGTTTTGTTTCTGTGCTGAATGTTTGTAACCTGTGGGTTGTGGCTCAAAAAACCCCCAACTTTCTCCTTGTAAGAACAGAAGAAATGGTACTAAGACCATTTTTCAAAGGAAACATTATGCAGGCCAACATAAAAACTGTTGGTTACATGAACATTTGAGAAGAGTTACATATTACTACATTGACAAGAAAGCAAGGAATTCAAGTATCTGTTCTGTGACACTAAGTGGCTGGAATATAGCCTAATTTTTCCTGTGAAGTGTATTTCCTTAGAAGTTTATTGCTGTTTACAACTTTTAAAGGCCAGTATTAATATACAGTCCAGCATTTCACTGTCCAATCAGGTATTTACCTTGATAAATTGCTATTTTAAGTGGTTACTACGTCATTTCTGCATGTTTTGTCTCTTTCAAATTTAAGAGCTTTCTTATAAAATTAAAAAGTAACCAAAATCACTACTTTGGCTGCAAGTCAATTGAGTCTCTTGCAAAGGTGGTACTGTGTCCTGCAAATGAACTGCTACAAAGATAATAAACATCCAAACCACTGCAGATACAGATATTTACTGTTTAAAGAATGTGGGTAGAGATGATTCTGTTGTTATTACAGCACAAAACTGCAGAAAGAGAAAATTGCTCAGTTCAGGTCTCTCGTGGTCTTTCTCAATAAATGGACTATAAAAAAAAATCAGAAATTACTAAATCAAGATATAAAGGTAATTAAAAAATGGCAAGGTTAAGTGAAATTGCCCAAGTAAATACTTCACACGGGGCCCTAATTTGGTTCCATGCAGTGCCTGGGCTATAATTTAGCTATTACTACAGAAATGGCTCCATCTGAGGATTTTAATGTCCGGGATTTGCTCAGGATCAAAGTCTCACCTTCGCTGAGAGCCAAGGACGTGCTGTCACGGTGCAGCCCAGCAGACAGAGATCCTACCCCAGATATCCCACTCACCCTACAGCCCTCAGTCCCACAGCTGGGCTGACAGCACCTTGCACTTGATTTACAGATCTTCAGAGCTGGAATGAGGCAGAGACAGGAGGGAACTGCCAGCGAGGGCTGTGCTGAGGTGGCTGCATTTAATGACGGTAAGGGCTGACCTCAGGGAGCTCTGGGGGCAGTGATGGGGGTCAGGCCCAAGCACTGGACAGGTCCACCATGATGGGGCATCAAACACAGCCAGGCACAGCAGAGCTACAGCTCTGGCGATGGCAAGGGCCAAGGCTTGGGCTCAAAGGCAGTTCCCAACAGAGGGGAGGTCCTGGTGAGAGTTTTCACCGTCCTCTTGTGCATCACCCTCTGGTCCCCAGTGACATGGGTGCACCTTCTCATAGCTGGTCTTGGACATAGGTTCTCCAGCCACTGACCCCAGCTGGATCTGTCAGCCTGCTCTACAAGCAACCCAAAGAACCTGCATCTTCATTGTCCCTTGGGATGTTAACAATATCTGATAGGCGTTTTTTTCATTTTTACATTATCCTTTATTTTTTTATCAGACATCTGAATCAGGAGCGTGAGGCCTATTTAAAGACAGAGCAGAGGCTTAAAATAAATACATTCTACCTGCCAAACAATTCATGTTTGGCAGGACTATTTTAACTGAGTGCTCTATATCTGTATCTGTCAAATCATGCAGTCTGTTCTATGCTGTGGGTGCTGCATTAACTTACACAGAATAGAAGTGGTCTGTGAAACCTGAATGATTTGGAGACTATCACTAGAGCCCATGATGGAGGAGAGAAGATGTCCAAAGATGCACACAACTTTAGACTTCAAGTGGAGAGGTGGGGTGTTCCCTACCTGAGACCTTGCAAGATACTGAGAGCAGATCGGACTTTTCCCCAGCCAAAACTCAGTCAAGGAAAGGGTTGGGAAGAGGAAATATTCATGATCAGCTGTGAGCCTGGAAATGTTACCAGGCAGTCTTTATGCTACTGCTGAGCCTTTTTCCTCTTGCAGCTCCATTCCCATTTGAGTTCCCAGATTTTTAGCGTTTTTCCTTTGAAGAATTTCTCTTTTATATTTCCTTCCTGCTGAGGCCGGAAAATTCATGTAGACCTGTGAAAGTGGTCCCTGATACAAGCCAGATACAGCTCTATACTTTGTAGCATATTGTGGTCTTCAAACCAGCTTTCCACTGCACA